AAGGAAATACATGTTTACTTAGCCGAACATATTTTCACTTCTTATAGCGATTTTCTTGTCAAATACAAATAGAATTGAACATTTAAATAAACATTTTACACGTCTATTTTATAGCTCATCAAATGCACTTATTTTGAAAGGTTTCCGTGACATCCAGGAAAAATTTAGGAAATGTTTTTCTTAGTAGATACCCTAAACGAAATATTTTTAGAGCCAATTAATCTTCTCTAGACCAAAGTTATAAGAAGCTTAAAAAACTAAGTGTTTTGTGTTTAACATTAAAAGTGTCTACAGGTTACGGCGATAGACAGTAAAAGGCTCAAGCTCAAAAATTTAATAGCTTCAGTAATTTCATCGAAAAGTAGTTAGTGCTTGATTTCGCCAAAAATAGGAGAGCAAATTTAATCGATATCATAATTTCCAAAACTTTGCGACATAAACTCGACACAAACTATAGTCAGAAATTTCTAGCTCGTCAACCATCTGGTTAATTACATTTACAGAATTTTCCTCGGCATTCTCTCAGGTCTCGTTTTCAGATAACTGACAATATAAGATCCATTACAGTTTAAATTAAAAGTCTCAGGGTAACACTAACAAAAAAAGTTATGAAAGAAGGATTAAAATCCAAAACATGAAGTTAATTTTTAATTATATTTAATAGGGCATTTAAAGTTTAATTACCATTTTTTCTGCCGCAGAGTCTAAAACATGCATATTACTTCCTCGTTTTAAGGATTAAAATGCCACTTTTACTCCTTTGGGACTAAAATATTTTATTTAAAAACCATATTGCTTAAAAACTTTTTTTATACAATAAGTATTCTTCATTTATAATTCCTTGCAAAAAAAATTAGAAATGATTGAAATCCTCCTAAACCATTCTAAATCTCAATATTAATGGTAGTAAACACAGCATAGCTACATAACTTATTAAAATGCTTTTATTTTTTGACAGTTAAAAGTTAAACTTATAGCTTATATAGGGTAACGAAAAAGTCTGACCACAAGGTATTTTCTATGAAACGAATAATTAATGTATAATAGTCGCGTCAAAGTAGGTTTTCACTTCGAACTTTGATCGGAAAGGTCCAATCGGGCTAATTTTTTTTTGCAAAATGTTCATTGAGACATGAGATTCAAAGTTCACTAAAATCTAGATGCCGCTCGGCCTCCCTCCCCCCAAATTCACCCCAATTGGGGAGAATTCTCGGCTTTTTTCAACAAAAGGCGCATACTTCATAAAACTGCAGTCCCAAGCGGGGTAAATGTTCCACTCGGGAGTTTTAAAGTACCCTGAATCGATTATTTGGGTCAGGTCGCCTTTGCGACCTTCCCAGGGGTGGGTGACAGGGCCATTGGGGGGTCCAATACACTAGATGTCCGTGGAAATGTATTTGGGCTCCCAAATTGCGCTAGGGGAGTTTAGAAGGGCGGATATCTCTATGTCATCGATAATTAAGCCTTTTCAAGCCCTCAAGGTACCATTTGGGTAGGCGCGTCAGGAGACAAGCGATCACTGAAGCGACCCCAAGGTCGAGTAGGACGACAGATGCATAAATGTTACGCTTCGTACATTTCACAAGCTTGAAGAAGTGTCGCGCGACACTTGCAAATAACCATTCGAGGGAACGATTAGCGTTGCCAGACCTACTGTTTTTACGTAGATCCAGTGTTTTTGTCTCTAGTAAATTTTGTTCTTAATTTATTAAGTTTGCCTCATTCTTTAGCAAATGGTTAAAGAATATTTTCTCTAGTAAATTTTCTGCAGTAAAAGCAGCGTAATAAGCATCCACTACTGTAGGTTGGCTCCAAAAAAAAAAAAACATCAAGATAATCATTGTTTTTATTTAAAATGAAACAAAGAATTAATAGGGCATCATAAGAATAACATGCATATGCCAAACACTACGATTTTGAATTGTCAGAATCAGACTGATCTAAAAGAAGTAGGTAATTATTATTTTTCATTGGTTTTTTTCCCGTACGTTAAGTATATAATAAAAATGTTTTTATTTGTTTTTATTCTTTGTTTACTTTCTAATTTGGGTAGAAAAAAGTTTATTTTTCGTTTCTTATATACTTGTTTTTTTATTTACTACACTGCAAATTATAATTATTTCCCCTGTATTAAAATCTACTGTTCAGATCTACGGTTTTTTTTACCCATACTGTTCCAAAATCTGGCAACGCTGCTTAGATCGAAAGAAATTTCCATCCTAATCACCCTCAAAATGAACCGATGCTCGAAGACAGTGACCCCGAGTGCGACACGTAGCAAACCTTTGCCCCGAGGCAGATTCAGAAGTGTCTCCAGGAAGTGTCGTCTTGACGACACTTCTCGTGTCGCGCCGTGCGAAATGTGTTTCATATAATTGTATGTATTTTAGATGTGAAGCGACACTTCTCGGTCGCGTCGGCGGTCGTATGTCGCGTCGGCGGTCGTCTGTCGCGCCTACCGAAATGGTACCTTCAGGGTCGTATAAAAAGGGGCCCATGGGGTCCAAATATCATGACCATGCGGGATTAAATTTCAGGACACAGAATTGGTACGCGCTAGTGTTATAAAACAAACAAATCTAAATTTGGGCAGCCTGTCATCCTGTGACCCAACCAGGGGTGTCCGAACAGGGTGCTGGGCCCAAAATATGAGATTTGATTTTATTTTATATCAAAATGTAAAATTGATATAATTTCTCCACCGAGTATACTTCTTGGTCTTTTTGAGTCTCTGACGAACCTAGATATGGCTGATAGGGGGGGTCTAAATTTAAATTCTCGTAAAATTCAATTTTCTCATATAAAGTTGATGACGGCATAATGAGTGTAATTTTATGTTGCAAGCATGTAGCCCCAGGGCTGCACGAACAAGCGTCCTGAGGGGCCGAAACTATCATGTTCACCTGGGACGATTCGATTTGATTTCATTACATAAAATTGATATAACTCACCTGCCCAATATAGAGTTTGTAGTTTTATAACACTATCGCGTACCAATTATGTGTCCTGAAATTCAATCCCGCGTAATCATAAAATTTGAGACCCCATGGGCCCCTGTGTATACGGCTCTGATGGCTTGAAAAGGCTTAATTCTCGATGCAATTGAGATTTCCGCCCTTCTAAACCCCCCTGACGTAACTTGGCAGCCCAAGCACATTTCCACGGACATCTCATATTTTGGACCCCCAGACGCCCTGTCACACACCCCTGGGAAGGTCGCAAAGGCGACCTAACCCAAATAATGGATTCAGGGCACTTCAAACCCCCCGAGTGGAACATTTTCCCCGCTTGGGACTGCAGTTTTAGAAAGTATGTGGCTTGTTGAAAAAAGCCGAGAATTCCCCCCAATTGGGGTGAATTTGGGGCGGGAGGGAGGCCGAGCGGCATCTAGATTTTGGTGAACTTTGAATCTCATGTCTCAATGAACATTTTGCAGAAAAAAATAGCCCAATCGGACCTTTCCGACCAAAGTTCGAAGTTTCTGCGTTTTTAGTCCTACTTTGACGCGACTATAATTGTATCGTTTATTTTTAAAACAGGCTAAGTGACATTTTCGGGCATTTTCGTTTTTTGACGGAAATACACACTTAACATGCAGACATTGCAGACGAATCGTTTAGTGCAGAAAATATCCAAATATATATAGCTTATATGCTTGATTTCGATGTACCACTCAAGCTGTTTATTGCATAATAGTCCGGTCAATTTAGACATCCGAGACTACAAAAATTCCCACCCAGCTGAAAATTGGTAGGATTGTTCAGAACACCATTACAAATTAAACGTAAAAAGTCCTCAACAAAATTAGTTAAGAAAAAAGAGTAGATAATTATCTATAAAAAAATGTTTAACATTTTTTTTCAAAAGAGCCACCGTTTCTGAGATATAACGATTCAAAAAGTAAGAAGAGTTTTAATCATCGTAATATGCACATGTTTCCACGCCACCATTGAGGTAGTGTACTTAGCGCGGTTTTTTTAACGTTGTTTCTCCGGTAGGCCTATAATCTGTTGTGACTCTTTTTAATTTGAATAATAAAAGATATTGGCAAGGGTTGAAAATGATAAAAGCGGTGCAAATAAAAAAATAGGGAATATTATTTAGGTTCTAACGCAGACATTATACTATGGCTAATATTTGTGCATATTAATTTTAAATGATCTAAATTTGATCTTTTATTTTTTTAAATCACTTGCTCCAAAAAATGTGTCAGCGACTCTGGGATTTCGTTGTTTAAATCTTCAAACATGCGACCTGGTGGAGGGTAGTTAGAATTATCTAACACTGTGGAATGAACATCTTCGCGGATGATTGTTGCAGCAGCTTCTAAGATTCTGAGTCGTTCTTCTTTTTTATTCAATTTTTTCTTTTCATACCAAGCTTGATTTAAAATATCATGATGATTGTCTACTAAGCATATGAATGTTGATGTTCCCGATTTTTCAGTGATAATAATTTTATCACCATACCTTAGCTTCAATCGTACCTTTAGCGTCCGGTTATCTATAGTTGTAGTTTTGCAAACATTTCTTAATTCGTTCAAAGTTAACTGACGATCATCGCTATTTTCGATGTAAGTGAATATTTCCTCCATTGCTATATTCGTAGTTTCATCTTGAGGACGACCGACTTTAACCCCAGTGGGCGGTTTCAAGAAGGAATTACAGCAATTAAATCGTTTTCGAATTCGAGTCGAGCAAGAACAGCTTTTTTCATAGCATCAGAACAAGTCCGAGTTGTTTCCAGAATCGAATCTTCAAATGTAAGTGTACTTACTTGTTTAATTTTACGACGAGAATCCAAGGATTTTCTTTTCTCATGCTCTTTATTCAATTCCTGACTGCAAAATAAGCATTGTTTTTTAAAACAAAAGGCTGATTCACTTACACGTGCTCTAGTACGAGGAGAACCTACAATAGATGTACTGGCTTCTTGTTCTTTATGTTGTCTTTTAATAGCTGCAATAGAACACTTTCGAGTACAATTTTTACGAAACATGTATGGTCACAGATTTCTGCTCTTTAAGATATTCTGTAAATTCATCAGCTCTTTCAGTACTTGCATTGATTAATGTCTTCATACCACGTTCTACAGTAACAATTTTACCTTCAGTTAGAAGTTTAGAACAAATAAAACAATATTCTGACATTTTTGTTATAAAATTTAAAACAGCACAAAATAGGTTAAAAAATATAGGTTAGAATGAACACGTGTTTTCACTCCGGAGTAGCGCTCAAGACTAATAGTAATGCATGTATTGGGTATTCTAACATAAAGAAGGTATACGACGCTTGCCACGCAGACAATTGAATAGGAGAGAGATGTTGCCAAGGTTACACTGGCGTATAAAATGAGGGACTGGATTTCTTTTTACCTGAAATTCTTATATTTATAATATTTTATATATGTATAAGTTACAATGACCTATAGATTAATATTTTTACTTATATTACAGCTTCAGTGATGTATATACGTGGTGTACTTATTACATATTACGACGATTTTAACTATTCTAACTTTTTGAATCGTTGTATCTCAGAAACGGTGGCTCTTAGGAAAAAATCCTAAACATTTTTTATAGATAAGGATCTGCTCTACAATTTTTGTCTAAACTAATTTTGTGATAAAACTTACCGTTTTGGTGAAAATCGCAAAAAACCCGTTTTTGTGACCTTTGACCCGGAGTAAATTCTTTTCCAAGTGCCAGATTGATGAGAACTTTTTAGGTTTTATTTATAATGGTGTTTCGAACAATCCTACCAATTTTCAGTTGGGTGGGAAGTTTTGTACCCTTACTCCTATTTTTTGGTCTAATTTGACCGGACTATAAACAATTCAACGTACAGCACTTGGCTGGCTTGTTTCTGCAGTAAACGGGAACATATTCATACTATTGGCCAACGCGTGTACTAAAAATAAGGTTTGTTAGTTGCAACCGGAGTGTTTACAAATAAGAATAAGAATATTTAAGAAAAAAACAATGGACGAAATACAGGAGCCGCCGATTAAAAGAAAAAATGCTATAAAGATATTTCAAATTTCAACACTGTCCGTTGTTCGTTCACACTCATCCCAACTTTTTACACAAAGCATAGAAACATATGATCCCTAATCGAATGAAACTGTTTGATGATGGTGAATACTGCCATTGTTTCTGATTAATGTTACATTTTTATACTTATACTGTGTTTTCTGTTTCAGAGATAATATTCTTTATAATGTTGGGGGCACAATGCTGTATTCTGGATTATATAGCAGCCAACTACTTCATACATATTACATTTTATAATATTGGATTTGTATATATATTTATAATAAATTAATTTTTTGATTATGCTTGTCTTTTTATTTAAACTAACGTAAAAATTGAGTTTGTGTAAACAAATCTTAATTTGGCTTAGTTTTTAATGCGAGTAATTTTTACTTTCAAATTTTAATGGCCCCGCGCTTTTCTACTCTTCCTCTTTGTTTTCTTCTTTCTTTTTTTCTTTTTTTTTTTTTCTTTTATTTATTTTTTTTTTCTTTAATTTATTTTTTCTGTTTTTTTTTTCTTTTTTCATATGGCCTTCTATCCGATAAGGACGTAAATAAGAAAAATCAACCACGTCCAGCAGGTGGCGCTGAAATTTTATCACCGTTTTCTAACGTGGGAGTTACCATTCTAAGAGTAAGTGTTCTGTGGTCAGCACTGGTGATTAGCTAATATCTTATAGAAATGGTAGTTGCAAAATTCTTTCGATCTACCCTGGGCAGTGTTGCCAAAAGAAAATTTGCTGTAACAATAGGTGGGTGAAAAAAAACCATTAAATTTTAATGCAGGGGGAAATAATTATAATTTGCAGTGTAGTAAAAAAAAACAAGTATATAAGAAACGAAAAATAAAAATTTTTCCATCCAAATTAGAAAGTATAATATATACTTAACGATCGGAAACAAAAAAATACAATAAAAAATAATAAGTATTTTTTTCAGATCAGTCTGAATCAGATAATTCTAATACGTTGTGTTTGGCATACATATTCTTTTTATGATGCCCTAATAATTATTTTTTGCATTTTAAATAAAAACAATGATTGTCTTGAGGTTTTTTTTTATGGAGCAAACCTACAATAGTGGCTAACTATTACGCTGCTTTTACTTCAGCAAATTTACTAGAGGAAATATTCTTTGACCCTTTGCTGAAAAATGAGGCAAATCTTATAAATTAAGAACAAAATTTGCTAAGTTGGCGAAAACAGTAGATTTCATGCCTAAAAAAGGAGAACAGAGACAAAAACAGTGGATCAACTTTAAAACAGTAGATCTGGCAACACTGATCGTTTCCATCAAATGGTTGTCGGTCTCCTTGCTTTCCAAATGTGTGAAGGGTAAATGCATCTGTCTCTCTCGCCGTCGCTTCTGCTGTCGTATGTCGTGCGTTCCGAAATGGTACCTCAAGAGTTTTCGTCGAAATCTCAACCACTGCAGTATTTTCACAAGGCAAAAATAAATAGAACATACCTACACACTTAAAAGTATCGATTTGAGAATTGGTTTCTAGTTGATTGTAATTGGTTCTTAATACACTATTTGCTTGACTCAGAAAAAAAACATACTTATTTATATTTGTTTAATTTCCTCTTTTTATTATTTTTAAAATGACATTATTGATATTAGCGTCAGCATCTGATCTGATTTATTCCAAAAATATTTACCAAATCTTGGCTGCTTAACTTTTACCGTTTTTAAATTAATTTGGAAATAAAATTAAACGCTATTAAACTCTCACCTTAATGTATTTAAAAATGTTGGGATATCCTTAAAAATGTTCAAGCGTCGCTGCCCTGGAACTCATAATAATAAACAAACATAGATAGATACTGGATTAATTGTATAAATATGATAATATCAATTCGTTGTTACAGCATAATTTATTTTCAAATCAGTAAATAGAATCAGAAATACAACCGTAGTTACTGAGTATATTATGATGTGACGAATGGTAGATATCAGTAAATAAATATTGATTCAGGAATATAGGCAGTTTTTTTATCGAAAATTGATAATGTCGCACACGTCTGAATTAAATTCAAAGTACGATGAATCACGGTTTTTTTATCTCTCTCTGGATGGCATTATCAGATTTCAAATTTCTGTCCTTCCTTTTATAAAATTCGTTAAATTGACTGTAGTAGGTCGAACGTCACTTACGTTTATTTTCTATATAAGTCAATGAAGTAATTTTTTAAAAAAATTGTGAAAAGAATCAAAATAATATGATAAAAAGTACCTGAGTACAAGTAACATGAGTGACAAAAAGCATTAAAGCAAGATTTACTTCGTTCCACATTGTAAAACAGGATACAATACACATGTAAAACTAAAGAAAACACAAGGAGAAATCGATTCAATGTCTTATTTATTGTAAACAAGTCACAACATGTATCACGGAGTGTAGTTTATTTTATTACAAGTTTATATAAAATAAAATTTTATAGTCATTGATCTTTACTTACAAACAACAATAATTATACATTAAATTTAAGTTACTAGAAAAGAAAATTTGTTTTTTTATACCTAGAGTTTTAATGTTAGTTAAAGAGTTGCTACTGTTATTTTTTGTTGAACCATAATTTTGTCATTGTAAATGTTTTTTTATAGGATTCTAAACGCTTAGAACAGTGGCGGCATATATATCGTTCCTAGGACCGATAAAGCACTTTCTAGAGATGATGCTAATCTACAAATTTTAAAAGACATTTCCAAATAATCTGAGACTCTTTTTACTGATGGTACTATTAGCAAAATAAAAAGGGGAAAGCTGAAATTAAAGGATTTGGCAATATCATATGCATTTTAAAATCTCCCTTTATGCTTGTATTATAACAATAAAGAATCTGTTAATTGTGTTTTATTTTGCTCTTAACTACTATATTTAGGGCGATGTTACCAAATTAAAAACATAAAATCATAGTTTTTGATTTTGTAACCCATAACCTAACTTTTTTTTACTAAATGTGATACATCGTTAGGAAGGTAAAAAAGGGACTTTTCAAAATAGTACAAATCCAATGTGGCGCCCACAGGCGTCTTCTACGTAAAAAGTTGCGTTGAGAAAGTTTTTACAGATTTTAGAAATTTTTATAAATAAAGAAAATATAGGAAATTTAGGAAATGCGTCACTTTAGTTTTTTCAAAATATCTCAAAAACCAAAAGAGAAAAAATATCAAACTAAATGGCATTGAATTAGAAACAAAATTGTCTAAAAATTTTCCCATTTAACTGTTTTTCTATCAACAGTTTCGGAGATCGCATCACCAATTTCGGACATACTGTATATATAAATGCGATAAAAAAATGTGATTATTGGTTGAAAAAAATTATCATTTAATTTATTTAATTCTCTTTATAAAAACAAATGTGTAAACATACGTGGCTTGCAAATATTTGTATGAATAAATAGTAAGCTATATGTAACGTAAATTTATTATAAAAAAATAAAAGGTACTTTTAGGTATTAAGTGATGAATTATATTTTACACAACATAGATATTAAATAAAAAATAATAAATTTACCTACTTATAATATTTTTTTTACTAATATAAATAAAATAATAAATATCGAGTTTAAACAAAGGCATTAAAGAAATAATATGAATTGTTAAACACATTTGTAAAAATTATTTCTTAAATACAATAAAACAGAACAAAAATAATTAACAATAAGAAAACATTTTTAAACCACTGTATACAGGGCATTTCCAAAGTAATCTGAAATATTGTTGAGGGCGATACGTCGTTCAATTTTAGCTCTTATAAACAAACGTGTGTGATAGGTTTTGTCATTTATAAGATACAGGGTGTTGAATTTTTTATTATTTTAATAGAAGCAATAAATTGTGATAAACATAAACATAAAAGTATTGTTACATTTCATAGCAGATGTTCAAAATGTGCCAGGATTGTTGCGAATAACATTACAGCCTTGTATGATGCGATTTAAAAGATCTTCTAAATTTAATATCGGGTTTGTAAAGTCAGAGCTCGTATATTTAATCTCTTTTGGCTCGGGGCTTGTCTTCGTCTTAACCAAGTTTTTCACTTCTAACATCCAAGTTTAAAGTGGGAACAGCAGTTTTTTTTTAAACTTGGCGCAAAGGTATAATATAATATTTTTAAAATGTATTATTTTGGAGAATATTAAAAGATCTAAATT